TCTGTCTGTCTGTCTGTCTCTGTTTATTTGGCTGGGCATCTGACAGGTGCCTTCTACCAATTCTCGACCTGGCAAGCAGGTCACTGGACAAAAGTCACTGCTACAGTATGTCAGTGCCACGCACTGCTCGGGAAACTGTGGGCCTTTTTTGGAGCTGTCAAATACATCTTCTAGCAAACTGCAAAAAGTCTCAGGGCATGGCCTAGAGTCGAGAAGTAGCAAGCAACTGCCTCCGAACAGCAAATTGGCAAATGTGTGGAAAAGTAAGATGCTAGGACTGTATGAATGCTTTGCGCTAGCCTTTTGGCACTGCAACACAATTTTGCCATGCCATCAAATCATAACCTTGTATGCCTCTACCACGTGCTGCTTCTTCCAAATGCCGAATGTTCAGCTAAGGGGCAGCAGCTGTGACTCGAGCATCTACCGCACCCAGGTAGGCAGTCAAAGTGCCACCACCTTAGGATCGGATTCAACTGAGACCAACGTGCTATCATTTCTTTAAGTCACCTGAGCCAAGCCGGTCGATGATGAAACATTCTTGGAGGAAAATACCAAAAAAATGAACATCCAATCCAACTGGCGCTTTGTTTACGGAGATGTACGTCTCATCCGAAAGACTTGGGGGATCGTGTGAAGTGACAAGGCGCGCAAGAGTCAAAAAGATTGACACTGTCAACTGCCTTGCAGACTGCAGAGGCTGCCAGCACTTCGTGCAACTGAAAAACAACTTGAAAACGTCCGCTTGCCGCTTCAAAGGAGCTGGCCACTGCATCCAACCACACCAATGCTTGACGCATTCACGAAGGGGAGATCCTGAACACGGTTTTAACTTTTATGTAAACTAGGGTTTGTGGACCGTGATCCTGTGTGGTTTTGCTGAATTTCCAAAAGAGGTACAGTATATCAGATACTCCGGCTCATGACTCGTCTGTAGAGGTAGGATGTCAAAACCAACCGCAAAGCGCCGATGGCTAAGGGAACACACTTTTCTACCTGCGCAACCGGATCAGCTCAAGCGCTAGACAGCGACGGCATTCGACTGAAGTCTCATGTGTCCTCAAGAGTGAACATGTCTTCATCAGCTTCCTTACTTTCTTTTTGAGGGTACTTAGACTTCAGTCGCTGCTCGGACTGTCGTCCAGCTTCAAGGACTTCTGCTTCGACTTGAAGCTTGTACCTGGCGTTTTTCAAAAGCTCCATCAAAGGCATCTCATGAGCCTGCGCCACTTTGGTGAGCATGTCAGAAGGATTCCGGTTATGGGGAACCCACCTGATCCTTGACCTTGTCTTTGACATGCTGTCGCGGATCAGGGCAACTTCAAGTGCGGTTCGGTCGCACTCTCCCTGGCTCTGCTCATTGGAAGCGGCGTCGAAGATGCCTTTGCTGTCGATGATGGCCACTGACAGCGGATCTTGGAAAGTGGCATCCTCAGCAGCGATCACGGTCAGCTGACCTCGAAGTCCTCCGTCATCATGCTGTTCAAGCTCTTGCCTCACATCGTAGCGGGACTTCAGAAAGCTGTTGAGGGTTGCTATCTGCTTTTCCAATCCTCTCGCAAAGGTTGCTGCTTCCTTTCTTCCTGCGAAGTCGTCGACTCTTCCAAGCTATGAGGCTTATGGGAGCCAACTCGCCTTTGTTGAGCTGAGGTGTTGAGATGCCCTGTAGCCATCCATGCTGTGGTTTGGTGAGTCCTTTTGGATCGAAGCTGCTGTCACTGATCAAGACATGTCGGATGTCATTCTCCCGGATGGAGTGAATGCGGATCGTGACATCCACAGCTTTCAACCGAGCCACAACTTTGTTCACCTCGAGGGCGTCGTGGATGGTGGGTCTCCCCTCCCTGGCACACCAGTTTATGCTGGCTACCGTGCCTCGAAGAGCAGATTCTTCGTCTTCCGTCAGCTGGATGCTTTTCGAGTTCTTGACCAGGAACTTGCGCTTGATCTCTCCACAGGCTTCAAGCGGTTCTTGATGTAGTCCGCCATGGTAAGTTCGAAGGAGTGGTCCGGGAGCTGTCGCAAGCGTCGTCCTGCGTATCCCGTTCCGGTCTTCTCCTCCTGCAAGTTCACTGCTTTGCCAAACCCGAGACGAGACTCCAGCCAAGCCATGCGTCTTCTGTGTTCTTCGTTGCCAGCTTCCAAGACATCGTCAATCTCGATCACGATGAGTCCCTGAGTGCTGGTTCCAACTGGCTTCTTTTCTCCCATGCTCGGTGTAGAGCTCGAAGAAGACCGTGAAGACACCTTCAGAGAGCTTGTTGGTGTTGGAGTCGGTAAGGTTCCAGGAGTCGTTGAAGTGCCAGGCAAAGGCTTCAAGGCAGGTGGGTCCGCATCCAAAGACAAGACGCACCTGTCGTAGCTGTTGATGCGGTAGCCACACTCCTGCACAAGCACCTGCAGAAAGCTCTTGCGCCACCGAGCAGGTCCACTAACCAAGCCATAGACTTCAGTCTCAAGTTGCACCAGTTGGTCCTTAGTGCAACCGGGAAAGACTCCTCCTTCTCCAGGCGGCATTGAACAGCACAAGCGCTGCTTTCTGGTCGTTGGAAGACTCTGCAAGAAAGCTGTTTTGCAGTCCTTAATCTTTCCAGTCCACTTCCGGGTCTGCAAGAAGAGCATGATGCTGCTGGAAAGGGGTGTTGGTGCACTCCTCTCGATGGCATGAATCCAAGGATCTCGCCAGCCAACAACACACCATCTCGACTTTGCTGCAAGACCTGGGTTGTTCAAAGGCTCAAAACCCGGGTCATCGAAGTGCTCCGGCAATGTAGAGAACTTGCCATCTCCAGAAGGTTTCCACCTGTCAACATAGCGACTCGGCAGCACACAATCTGGGTGATCTCGTCGGAAAGCTCGAGATTCTTCTGACGACAGGATCTTGATGGCCTTGTTGTCAATCAAGGACTGAACCTCTTTGATTCTCGCATCCAGGAATGCTTTGCGATGCGCAGCATTAGTGAGTCTGTCGAAGTCGATGTGTCCCGGAGCGAGCTTCATCTTGGTGATGTAGATGCAGATGTCCGCATGGCTCTAGGATCCCTCAGCCTGAGACAGAGAGAAGTTCGTCGTGGACATTGGGGTCATTCCAGATTCTTCCAGCCGGCGGTCATACCACCACATAGCTCCATCCTGCCCTGCTGTCCAGGCAGAACGTCTGGAGTTGTCATCATCAAAGGAAACAACCTCAAAGAAGTTGGCACTTGAAGACTCCGGAGGTCTCGGCAATGGAGGCAAAGACGCGGTAAAAGGGTATGGATTGGGGCGAGAAGGCTCATCCCGCATAGGCCCAAAGTTTGTCGTCAAAGTGCCTCCTCTGCCTTCATCGACTTGAATGCTGTTCCTTCGACTTGGAAAATGAGAGGGCGGCATGCTCGTAGTTGGAGTAGAACCCACAGCCTCCTCTGTGCCAAGGTGCGTGCTCACTTCTTCGGGGTCACGAGGTTGTTCGAAAGCTGGTTGAAGTTGTTCTGTTCCTGGGGCAGCGGCCATTAACTCATCAGGAGAGTAGTCGTTCATGTTGATGTCCTGCTCCAGGGGTTCTTGTCGGGTTTCTTCTTCTATCTCTTCCTCATCAAGTTGTTCGAGCGGCTTGATCTTGGCCTCTCCCGTGGTCGCCTCACCGTCGGTCAACTCCTGAGTGAGGTCGTGGTAGCGGGACAAGCGGCCGTGCTTGATGTCTTTCAACATTTCAAGGCTGAGCTCCTTGGAAAGTGCTCGACCAAGATCCTCCTCCGTGGTTGTCGGTCGAACATGTTCTCTTGAAACTTTGAGAAGAGCTCCTCGAAGACTGATCCACATAGTCCTCTGGTTTGGGCTCACGGCCACGATGACGCCGGGGCCGCTCCATCCGTTGTGAGTGTTGGTGGAGCGCCAAACATAGCACCAATCTCCTGCAACCAAAGTGGATTGATCTGCAGTTCTCGTGGGCGTCTTCAAGGCTCTCTTGACTGAATCCTCGTCCAAGGAACGCATCCAGGCCTGACTGGCCATGTCTCTGATTTGCCAGCTTCGTTGGACGTCATCAGTCGCTGAGGCTGAAACCAAGAGCGGGCCCAGGAGATCATCTGAAAGCAAAGATGCTGGCAGTCGAGGGCTGTAGCCAAAAGCTCTCTGATAGGGCGTGAACCCTGATCTGTTGTAGAGGCGGTTTCTGGCAAAACACCAGCTTGAATTTCTCCTTGAACACCCCTCCTGCTCGTTCTGTTCGGCCTGCTTGCCAAGGAGCATGAGTGTCGATGTAGTGCACCATGATGCCCATTTGGTTGAGCTTGTCGCCAAACTCCCGTCCAGTGAATTCGGTTCCCTGATCTGCTATGATCAAAGTAGGAGGGCCGTACGGCATCAGCAATGAATCGGTCAGGGCCAGCATGGTGTGAGCTGCTGACTTCTGAGGAAGATATGTCACATTTTGGAGTCCAGTTCCCCAGCAGACCATGTTGAGGAAGGCGTGCAAATTGCCGCCAAACTCGACAAACAGCACGTCCACTCCCACAATCTCGTTGAACCGTAGTGCATGAGCCAAATGTCCAGGACGTGGTGTCTTCGGCTTCTGGTGTTGCAAGCAAATGGGACAAGTGAAGTGCCTCTTGACATAGTCGAGCACCTCCGGCTTCACGTTGGCGTGTTTGAGCGCCCTGAAAAAGCTATCTTGAGCTGGATGCCCAAGATTCCGATGAAGTCGCGAGACCTCTCGCCTCAGATCCGGGGCCAAAGACGATGTCGACCTCGTCTGAGACAAGTCCTGAGCTAGCTCTTGCACCTCCTCTGATTCTGCCAAAGGCCGAATTTCATGCTTCGCCTTTTCCAGCACAGGATCAGCACCGGCAGGAGCTCGAAGTGGACGCGCGTCCAAAGGCGCAGAACGCGACGAAGAAGCGCCGCGAGAAGGCAAATCAGCCTGAGCCTGCTCCCCCAAAATTCTGTGGGCTGGAAAGGCGGTGAAGTGGTAGTCCACAAAGTAGAGGTCGTACTGGAAGCTGGGTTCTTCCTGGATGTAGTCGGCCACTGGTTGAGCCATTGACTTGGCATAGTAGTTGGCCTTGGACTGTAGCTCATCAGGAAGATTCATTGGGGCTTGTGAGACATGCACATAGTCAATTCCACGGCCTTGGAGGTGGTGACGTAGTCCTTGAAGTACTGCCCGGACAAAAGCTGTCGTGTATTGTGCAGCTAGGGCAGCTCGGCCTCCTCCAAGTAGTGGTTGATGTTCGTGGTCACCAGCACAACGATGTTTTCGAAGAAGGCGAACCAAGGGCCAAATGTTGGTCAGCAAAGCTGTTGGCTTCTTGGCTCGTCCACCATCTGTGTACAGTGTAGAGTTGGAAGGCGCACATGTCCACGTAGATGTGGAAGACTCCGGGCAGGAGCATGAGGTGTTCCACGGCCTCATCCTTCCAGCTCTCAGCATAGCGAGGATGTTCTAGAAGAAAACCTCGTCTTGCATCATGTTGAAGTCGCGCCAAATAGAGACAGAAGTGCCAGTGCATCAAACCTTCTCGGCGTTCTTGCTCCACCGTGTCAAAGTCCCTCTTGTAGTCACTGAGGCGACGTAGTGTGGAAAAAGTCGTGCACGGTGGTGAAAGGACAAGTAGTGCTGGCTTGAACTTTTTCGCAAGTTTGATCGCTTCTCGGCGATGAGCTCTCTTCGTGAAGTCCCATCCTGTGCGAAGGTCCAGAGCTTGACCAAGGCGTAGTTGCGGTTGTCGTCCTTGGGCATTCTGTTTTCTGGCCTCCTTTGTCACACGCGGTGGGCTGTAGATCTCCATAATGTCCACAAGCTTGCCATGCTTCTCAGCCACCACTTGATGGATGAAGGTCTTCACCTTCCGGGGCAAGGATTTTGGAGCTCGATGCCAAGTATGGTCTTCTGTCCCCAACCACTGTGTGCTGTCATTGGTCGGGTACACCCAGCAAAGATCAACTGGATGTTGGAAAGCAAAAGGCTTCGGTGAGACTGTTTCCATTGGTTGCCAGGTTCCATCATCAGTTCGACTGAAGAGAGACGTTGGTTCTCCCAACAGCAAAGAAAGGTTGTCCACACCAGCTGCAAATTGAGGATGCTGGTGATACAAAAAGCTTGAATTCTCGATCTCATTGGTCTTCGGGGCCGCAATGGACATGGCGTCAGCGGCCGCGACGAAGGAGATCATCAGCAAAAAGGCACTCTTGGTGATTCCATGCACAGCGCGGTACAAGGGAGCATCTTCGTGCTTCACTTGTTCCAAGCTCTTCACCTCCATGGTGGTCGCCTTCTTGGGCTTGTTCATGTGTCCATGAAGTTCTCCCGGTCGCGCTCCGTGAAGTCCGGGCCGTGGATGGACTCCAGCTGCTGGTCGAGGACCTCCTGATAGTCCATCATGGCGTCTTCCCACTCCTGAGGGTCCATCAGCAAGAACTGCTCTGGATCCTGGGCTTGTCCGGAGCGGGTCGGTGACTTGGAGCGACGAGTAGGGACAAGACCTGTCATCTCTTCCATGGACCTCCGTGGCAATGGTGGGATTGGTCCCTGCGTCAACATTGCTGGACTTCCCTTCTCCTCCTGGGTCTTGACGTTGATGCGGTAGTTCCCCAAGTCCGGCCGGTAGCGAGGAGCCGGCAGCTTCTTCGGATAGCCTTGGGTACTCTTCCGCGGTGGAGTCTTCACAATCTGCGTAGAAGAGCTCGAGGAGGCTGCTGGGTCTTCTGGGAGTTGCAACCTCTCCCACCGGGAACCACATCCGAGACAAGTGTACCAGAAGTGTCCGCGCCCAGCCCGATGCCATAGTTGATCTTCGGGGTGAGGGCATGAATCTGGGTCGCGCTGCCAAGACTTCTGAGCCACGGACCGAGACAGAGGTTTTCCGATGCCCATTCTGACTTTCCATTGCGTCGGATCTGCACTCTGGCTCTTGACACGCTTCTTTCTGTCGTCCTCGAAGTCGGGAAGGTCGATCTCCTGGCGCTGGGTCAGATAGTCCATGACGAGCTCGTTGCGCATGTTCTTGAAGATGAGCATCACCGCCAGGATCAATCGCTTCCAACGGGCTTCTGCCATCTGGGGCTTGTCGAGGACCTTCTTGCGCTCTTGAGGTTGGCCGGGTTCTTTCAAGATCTGAGCGGCACGATCCCTCAAAGCTGACATGATCATGTCTTGGAGCCCTTCTTGCACACAATGACTTAACACATTCATCGGCTTCGGAAGCAAAGAAACATGCACATGATCTGATTGAGGAAGTTGAGCATGTTGTTTGCTTGGCAAAGAACAGTCAACAAATTCAGGCACTTCCGAAGACTCACAAATCTGCTCATCCCCTATGAAAAAGTACTCACACTGCAAAGGTTTCCCATCGTTAGACCCGAAGCTCACCTGCTTGTTCTTGGAGTTCTTGGTGCTGCCGCCACGCAAGGTCTGCAGTGCAGGTGAAGCTGGGGTCGATGAGGTTGGACTCATAGGGTCTGCTTGGGTTGTGGTAGTGCAAGGGGTCAAACATGCTCCGAAAGAATCATGTACTGCATCATGTACTGCAAGATCAACAGCTCCTCCTTTTCCACGCTCCAGACGGGCGAATTTTGCCCACGGCCCTTGATGGCCAGATTGAGGTGACGAGGATGAGCTCGCGGCCATCGAAGGAAAAGAGGAAAAGCCGTCTGAGCGGAAAGAGGCGCCGTATCAATGTAGCGCTCCCCCAAAAGGATAGAGTCGGCCAGAGTTGCACTGGTCGAAGCAAAGACCACGGCGCCAGTCCAGGACCCGGCAAGTGGGTGAGCCGCTGGTGAACGCCATTGGTCTCGAATGATCATCTTGTGACCATCTGAAAGTCGGGCATAGGTCACTCGCTCAGGTTCCAAGCTAGTGGCATCTTGGAGGTCTTGACAGTCTGAAGGAAAGACCAAGTTGTCCCGAGGGCCTGGCAAAGACTGCAAGTAGTGAAGGTCTTCACCATGAAGTAGCCACACTGTCACTCGATCAGCCGCATACTGAGCGAAGTGGAAGGTCGGTGGAACCTCTTCCTGCAAGACAAAAGGGTCTATCCCCGGATGTCGTCGAAGAGAAACTGGTAGGTTCCATCCGCTTGGGCTGAAGTTGGTCAAAGACACAGCTCGATGGGCAGTGCCTAATCGTCTCATACTGGCGGCGTCGCCTTGTCCAGTGGTCAGCAGGTTGTTCTTCAGGTCGATGGTGGCCTCAATGTGCTCAAGAAAGCTCACTGGTAAAAGAGGCGGTGTCTTGAAATGCTCATCATCTTGAAGCACAGTGAACCTCACAACTGCGTTCACCTTGGCCACACCAATCGGGATGTCCAACTGCTTAACCACCTTAGCTTCTCCACCCACGCCTCCGGCAGAAGGCAAAGGGTGGTTTCCCTGAACTGGGACTGCTTTCAAGTTTCTGGTCCTCAAGCTTCTCTCCAAGGATTTGAGGGCTCCTGTTCCGATGACTGCCTCTTCAGCTGCGGTGTCAACCAAAGCTTCATCTGGGTAGCATTGAACGCCAGCGAAGATTGAGAGTCTCCTTGGCGCTTCAGGCGCTGTGCCAATGGTCATCATGAACTGCATCGTAGGAACACCTGGCGTCGCATGGCCAGTGTGCACGACGAACTGCTGTCGAGGAGGTCCACCTTGTGCATCTCCTCGTGGTTGTGAGAGAGGGCAATTCTTAGCAAAATGGCCCAACTCATTGCAGTTCCAGCATCGAGTTCTGCTTTCGAGGTCATCTTCATTGCCCTTCAACTGTCGGCTTGTTGAACTTCTCCTGGTCTTGAACTTGCCTTTGCCACGAGACTTGGCAAAGTAAGGCTTGCGAGCCCCCTTCTTTCCACCTTTAGGTCGACCAGGATCTCGATCTCGATGCTGACCATGTCGCACATAGCCACGCTCATTCCTCCGTTTCTGAAGTTCTTTCCTGGCATCACGGTAGGCCAAATGGTAGGCCTTCAACTCGATCGCTTCCGTCTCATCATACTCCCGGTCCTCCAAGTAGAAGAGCACGTTGCCATCTTCATCGCATGACTGCGACTCTTCTCCTGTGGGCCATTCTTCTCCGCCATCATCTTCATGGCCTTCAGCTTCGGTGAGGTTGTCATCAGGATCCTCACCTTGCTGGTAGTAGTCGGAGGCGATCATATAGTTTCTTGAACTTGACGAACCTGACTCCTGGGCTCTTGCAAGCATCTCTGGGCGGTCAAGTGGCCTGAGGAGGTTCGCAATCTCGTCGAAAGGCCTCAACATAGGGCCTCGAAGAAGCAACATCTCACGGTGCAAGTCGTTGAGGTTGGCGTGCTTGAGAAGGATCCTCCCACATAGTTTGTCATTGACCACCTCTCCCATCTGCAGTTCCATCTCCTGTCGTGCTAGCTGCTTTGCTGCGATGAAAGCCGCGAAGGACTCTCCACGCTGCCTTTCTCCTCAAACAGGAACTTGTCGATTGCTTGAGGAGCTGAAGCTTCCAAGAAAGGTGCGTACTTCTGGTGTAGAGCTCCAAGGATGGCTGCATAGCCACCAGGGGACAAGAGCACCTGCGTGGGAATCGTATCTGCTATCCGTCGAGGCTGAGATCCTTCAGGGAACGATTGAAGGAGCTTGATCGAGCTTGATCCCACGCTTCTCCATGGGGACATTCGACTCGTACTCCCACAATGCAAGGAGCTTCAACCAAGACCTCAACGTGCTTGGCGAGCCGTTCCATGACGGCAAAGGTCGTCGCTCGCCCGTCAGGGCTTGGTTCAAGGCATTCGCAAGCAGCTGCTCTGGAGTCTGGGAGCCCGGAGCTTGTGGTGTCGAAGAACTTGCTGGAGCTTGCTTTCCAAGCATAGCGAAGGCGTTCGTAGGTGAAGCGTCATTGGGCTGCTGTCCATTGCTGCTGCCTAAGGCACTAGCGAAGGTCGCCGCCGAGAACTGGGTCGTTGCCGAGAACTGGTTTGGTGCTTGCTGTGGAGCACCACTGGGTGAAAAGGCTGTCGCCTGCTGTTGCTGCTGCTGCTGCGACGTCTGTGGCATCACCTGTGGTGTTCCAGCCACCGTCTGGGGCACGTTACCAGTTGTCGTCCATGTCGTCGAGAGACCTGGCGGCATCCATGGCATAGTCCCTGCAGCTTGGCCATTGGAGGCTCCCCACCGAGGGCTCCGTTGGGAAGCGTCGGAGGGTAGCCATCTGGCCCATGGGTCCCAAGACCCCTTCATCCAAGCATGAAGAGCTTGAAGGTCGCGAAGATCGTGATCAGCTCCGCTACCACTGTAGAGGTAGGATGTCAAAACCAACCGCAAAGCACCGATGGCTAAGGGAACACACTTTTCTACCTGCGCAACCGGATCAGCTCAAGCGCTAGACAGCGACGGCATTCGACTGAAGTCTCATGTGTCCTCAAGAGTGAACATGTCTTCATCACGTCTCATAACAATACAAGAGTCCGAAAGGATGTCCAAAGCCCGTTGAGCGTCGCCTGAGCAGCTGCAGAGGTGTTGCACTTAACGGCCACAATCCAAACTGGTCTTGCAGACAGCTCTCTTGCCAACCAAGTCTGATAAACCGCTTTTGATTCATTTGGCCCCTTTCCATTGTGCTGTTCTTAACAAGCTTGCCAATTACGAAAGCATGAAGCAACAACGATCAAGAATACTCTGACTCCTAAAGCCACAAAAGTTGAAATTATGGCGAACAGTTGTGGAGAAGCTCCACAAATATGATGTCGAATCGTGTGGTCTGCTTCAAGTCAACCAACTTGGAATCATCAGCAAACCGCGCGCCAGTCCGGCCGTTGGGAACTGTCTGAGCGTGCAAGCGTACGAAAAGCTCCTCTGCTCCACGGCCCAAGAGCCAAAGCTGCTGGCCTCAAATCTCTGCAAATGACGGCAACCCAATGGGAACACCTCAAACTTTGGGTGTTGACATTCCTTTCAGATGTTTCCAACAACGGGTTTCTTCATTCAGAAAACACCCATCTTCATGGTGAGAAAACACCGGCTAAGACCGTTAGAAAGAATTTGATAGTCTTTTTTGAATGTCAACATTGGATCAGTGAAACCCCCCTATTAGTCAAGCCCAGCTGGAGCTCCCAATACTAAACTAATTTAAAACCTGAATTTCCACCTTGGACCCCCTAATAATTGTTGTCCTGTCCAAAGAAGTATTAATCAAGCGCAGCTGCCCCAGAAAAGAACAGTTTACGATTATAACTTTAACTATAATTCTTTATTATATACTTCTTTTTTTGCTACAGTATATAGTATCCAATATCTTCTGGTCCATGGTGAAACTGATCTGATCCACCCTTGTCTCATGCCATCTCTCATGGTTCAAGCTCTCATGATTCACACAGAATCCCATTAAGCATCATCCACCATCATCCAGTCCAGGTCATCACCTTTATCAGCGGGATGTGGTCCTCCAATACCTCCAATCTCAAACCTTGTTAACTTTATTGACCTTGAAGAGGTGGGCCCGTTGATTGATCCGACGTCGACATTACACATTCTATCTCCGCTGTCGTGAAACTAAAATATGGTCATCCAATGAGTGAGAGTTCTGAAAGGTGAGACAAGTTGACCACAGCAAAACTTCAATTGCCACAAAAACAGACCGCCGCAAACAGGCCCGGCCAGTGGGTAGTGTCCTATCTCCATGATACACCGGTACACGTCATGCAGCTGTTAAAGGAAGCAGAAATGCGTGGCGTTTTGCAGTGAGGCTGGTGCCAAAGTGGTTGTGCGCCACCGAGCAGGGAGGCCCTTCCTTAGCCAAGCAGAGTTAGATGTACTACTGGAAGAAATTGTCTACATACCGCATTTTTTGCGTTTGGACTGTCCAACAAAGTGCTCTCTCGAGTGCTGAGGCTTCAACACCTTTACATGGAGGAAATTTGCCTTGGGATCTGCAACTCTTTCACATGAAAATTTGCGTGAACATAAATGACCACAACCTGAACCTACATTTGGGCGAACTTGTTTTGCAGCACTCAGCGACCTTTGCTATGGTCCTTGGTGTTCTTGTGACTTGCGGACACGTGATACAGGGTGCAAACGAAAATGACAAGGACACATAATATCTTGATGACGTCAGAAGAGCTCAGTCGGAAAGGTTGCTGCCTGTGGCGTCGGACGACATAGATCAGGGCTGCTAAAGCAAGAAGAATCCAGGCGCATTGCTCAGCGACAGGCATATCTCTTTTGTGGACCGCGTGGCGAAAGTGATAAATGACCATCAAAAAGGTCAACAGCCAAGCCACCAGCACACAAAAATAGAGTTGAGGATTTCTTGTCACCATCTCCAAGTTGTCTTCAGCGTGCTGTTCCTCTGCCCTGAAGTCAGTGAAAAGGCTGCCACCTCGAAGAAATACTGCGCGTGCATGTGCATCGTCAACATCTTCGCCCACTTCCTCAAAGACGGAGGTGCTTCGGCTCACCTTGGCGCATTAGATTTGTCAACATCGGTTTACGCGTGTGCAAAAACGGCAGAATCCCAAACACATGGGCCAGGGAAAGCAAGCTATGTTCATGCGGATTGCATTTTATTTTGTTCGCTAAGTCGCTTTACAGAGTTTGGTCTGGCTTTCCTTTGCAGTTTCTTACACGCAGGTATAACGGTATAACTTCTGTCAGAACCAGAAGATGAAGCTGCTCTCGTCAAAGGCATGCTTACGCAACGCACCCTGAAGCAGTTGCCAGACTGACACCTTCACCACCGGCCACCCAGTCCTATGTGCGACAAGTATGTTGTTTGAACGAAGCTTCACTGACCAAAAACTTTATCAACAACACCAATCCACTGGCCCTTTTGCCATGTGGGGACTCTGTCCGTACTCAGAACCTGTTTTCCATGTGGTCGTCCGTGCGAGATGGTGGAAACATCGGCATCACATCATCTTCTGCCACCCCATCAAGAGCGGATCACTACGGTTCTTTGTCCAACGCAGAAAAAGGGTGCAGAACCTTCTAGGGTTTCAACTTGCTCTGGCAGTGGCACATGCCACATACATGGAAGACTCAGTGGGTTCTTTCAAGGGTCGGGGAGTGTGAGTTGAAACAACATCATTGCAAACAAATTTGAAGCATGTGTCATGGATGTTTGGTGGGGTTTGGTTATTGAACCCCGTACCTTAAAGAGTGTGTGTATGTATATGTGTATATGTATGTGTATGTGTATGTGTATGTGTATGTGCATGCATGGATGCATGTATGTGTGTATGTGTGTATGTGTGTATGTGTGTGTATGTATGTATGTATGTATGTATGTACGTATGTAACATATGTATGTATGTATGTATGTATGTATCTGTCTGTATGTATGTAGGTATGTATGTGTGTAAGTGTGAAACGGGTCTTCTTCCACATTTCGCACAACACTGCCTCAGTGGCTGACACACTTGAAGCCACTGCAATGACCTAGTCAGGCGCTCAGGCCACAGTTTGTTACAAGAGTTATTTACTGAAAGAGTTCTCCTAGGATGGGCCCTACTGGAGGTTGTCCAGAAAATTCTCTGAAGTCTTTGTTGAGACTTGTGACAAAGTAAGTACAGCGTCAGCTTGGTGAGGAACTACAGGTTGCCAACAGCCGGACTTGAATGCGGCGGCTTTAAACGAGAGGGAACACTTGTGATCACGATCTTGAAGCTTCTAAGTAGGCAACAAAATACGCCAGCATAGACCCCAGATAGCATTGGAATCACTGCATTCAAGCGGGTGCGGCCTTTTCACTCGCGGTGCACACAGCAGGCACACTGCAGCGACCTAAGCACAGAGACAGTGGCACCCTGCAGCGGCACCAGCACCCAAGCCCCCACAAGCGCACACAGCAGCGGCACCCTGCAGCGGCACCCTGCACCGGCACCAGCAGCCAAGCTCCCAAGTGCACGCAGAAGCGGCACCCTGCAGGCACCAGCACCCACACTCGAAAGCGCACACACTCAAGATAGTGCGTACTGGACTGATCACCCCAAGCCCTGAAGACGCCTAAGTGAGAAAATGGCCTGGGTAAAACAGGCAATAACATGTAATGCGGCTTGGCCATCTCAAAGTCCAACCAAATCAATCTGTACCCTCCATGAGGCCTCAAAGCTCCAAAGTCAAATGCGTGACTGCCGATGCAAGCCGATGCAATGGCCGTCTTGTTCTAGCGAAATGCAGGGACAACGAGGAAGGTGTTCAGGGAAAACTGCAGGTACGCCGAGTTGATCAGACTCGGTATCCCATGATTGTGGTAGCTTCGTTGAGTGCTGTCCCACAATCATGCCGCACTTCCCTGCTGCTGTAAAGGCAAGAAACCGGGAACCAATTCAAAATAATCCCTGTGACTCCAAGGGTTTCACACACACACACAGCTCTTCCCATACTTGAAGTAAGAACCCCAATAGCTCACGCTATCTGAAGAAATATCCTTTCGGAGTTCCATAGCTGCTTCGGCTGTAAAATCGCAAAGGGCGGAGTGGGAAGGCTATACATGGTCATTTGATCCTTGCATGAGGCTGTGCCTCGTTCGTGGCGAGGCCTTCAAGACCAATCCAACCTACCATGCATTTTGTGTGTGGGTGTGTGGGTACTCATGAGCGCATTGGATTGGAAGAGCTGGAAGATGCTATCATTGGTGCACTATGTGCTAGTTGAAGCTACCTTTGATGATAATTCACATTAAACGCAGTAGATTTGAATGTATATATTGATACCCCCGTCCAAAAACCTCATTATATATAGATATATATATATATGCATATATCGTATCATAGATATAGATAGGTGCGCACACACACACATGATATGTCTCGCACAGAAAAATTCCTCTGTTTAAGAGATAAACCAAACCTGACCCATAAGCTAAACAGCAGGCCTGGCCTTGAGAGTGAAATGCCGCGGTGCTTTGCCAGGCAATTGTGTCTCGGTCTCTGCGGGCCTGCGCTGTCGATGCTGAGCTTCAATGTCCATCTCCACCTGTTGGGCAGGTTGTGCCCCAGGCTGAGACCCAAGGAGATAAACTCAGGCCAAATTACAGACAGTATGCAACGCTCAATCGACCCACACAATACCTATTTCAGGGTTGCGTATTGTGTTTGGTCGTCAAAAAGAAAAAAACCTTTATAGGAAATTTGAATCACTTTTTATACGTAATCTAAACACTACGACGACCCTGTCCACCTCCCTGTAGGTTTCTTCATATTTTTGCCAGATCTCGAAGTTGGTCGGGTCGATCCGTGTCGCTTCCCGGAACTCCTCGTAGGCCGCCCGCAGGTCCCCACGATGCAGGTGACCCAGACCAATCTGGTAGAAGTCAGTGGCAGAAACAGCACAATCCATGGCGAAAGCGTCACCTCCCTAGGCGGCAAGGAGGACACTTCTGAGAAGTTGTTCTACATTGTCCTTGTGACTCCGTCCATCTCCATCCTACTACCAGCCTCGCTACTCCTAGTAATGCCCTTGTTACTAGTAGCGATGCTCTTGCTACTAGTAGCGATGCCCTACATAGGCTTGAAAGAGTGAAGACATCACCTTGAAAAGGGCACACCTGTCACACCATGCAAGCTGACTTGCACCAAGGAATCCAAAGCATGACAGCTGCGAATCTTATTCCGCTGATTCCAATCGGTTGAGCAAATTGTCAAAACGATGTGTCGATGTGTGGCATGACTATTTGTGGGTCAACCTCACATGCATCAGAATCATCCTAATATCATCTCATCGAATGTACAAGCATCATGTGATTGCCAGTAAGGAGATACTTCAAACATTCAAGTACAGAATCCCTTAAGACAAGTAATGCGTGAACAAATATGCCCTTCTCGCGATCGTCTACCCTTGACTTGGATCCACAGCTGTAAACGTTTTACGCTCCTTTTCAGCGCCACTTGATGCTCACTACCCCCATACACCTCTTCACGGATAGCATCTTGGCCATCTCCAGTATCAGCTACTCTTCAAAGCAGCTTACCCTATGTTTTGCAGATTATTGCAGCATTGAAGAAGTACTACAAATGCAACTTAGTTCTGCCAACCCTCCTTCAGGAGTGGCGCAGGCAAGAGTCGACCACCGCGAGTCTCTCTTGATGAATGGCTAAAAATGCACACCAGCTTCAACCAAGGGTGTCAAACAATGGAAAGGAAAGAATCAGATCTAACCCAAAGTAAACCACAAAAAAAGGGCTCGAATCCCACGAATCCACTTCAACTCCTCTACCGGGGATTGTGTGTATCCATTGGGGTCAAGGAAGCTTTGGAGCTGTATCAGCAAAGCCTACTGGACAGGAAGAATGATTGGTGCGATGAAATCACAGTCACATCACAAAATAAATAGCACAATAATATCTGCATTGAGTCTCAACTGTGATCGAGTCTGCACTTGAGCTGCAACGTGAGCTGTGACTTGGCCTCTCGACGTGAGCTGTGTGAAACCAGCCAGGCATTCTTCAATATGTCCCTTTTTGGTGAATATAAAGGGAAGAGGAACTTTATAAAACTCAAGCACTCAATTTGGATATCAAACAGGTCAACCTGGATTTAACTCTCATATACATCGTCATCTAGAAACTAGAAAAATATCCCAACAAATCTGTTGCCACACTGCTTGAACCTGGTGATTTAGGCAGGAACTGCTGCAAAGGCCACTGGTTTCAGCTGAGAGGTCTAATACTTCTGTCTGCTGTCACTTGCGCCAAGAACGCAAAGGGTTGGAGGCACCTTGCAGAAAACACACCCTGCTGTGGATGGATGAAATCCTATAACACCTGAGAGGTAAATACTTGACTATGTGTGTGTGTGTGTGTCGGCGGTCCAAATGCTGCAAACAGCTGTATATAAGCTGTAGTTGAGCTGTGGAATGGAATCTGAATGATCACCCTTGGTCACCAGCCATTGTCAAGGGACTGGGGTCCGATGGGCAA